AGAATAACACAGATTTTTGGCAGTGGCCTAGCTAGGGTTGGTGTCACCCGGTCCGGTCCGCACCCCCCATAGTTACACCACTGCTTTTTGGTACTGTACAGAGGACGCTGTGGGGAGCGAGACTTTCACTGGGTTTTCTTTCCTAGCGAAATGTGCTACTGCTTGCGTCACTTCGCTCGGGGGTTTCCCTTGTTCCCTTGGTAATCTTTCACCACAATTTTAGGAATAAGAGGGAAGTAATTCATGTGAATGCACAGTCTAAACTCACTCGCTGCGTTAGTTCCCTTTGACATTCTTTGCTTGAAGGGCCACGAACTAATGAAGTAGAGTTTGAAAAACCCTCTTTCCAACACATGAAACGAACACAAAGGTAGGTAACACATTTTGCCAGACAAGGGATACGAATTGTATTTCCATAATTTTATTCATGCAACCCTACTAACATGGGTTAATTACTAATTATTTTATTTCTTTTAACTACTAAAAATGACTTTTTCTCCCTTCGTTTGAACGACCTAATAAACAAAGTTTGTAAATGACGTCATCACAGCATAATATTTTATTTCACTTTTTTAAGTTGTATCAATGATATCTCTGTCATGTAAACAACTTGATTAACAAAATATATTTATTTTTTATTCCTCTCATTTAAAAAGAAATCTTGAGTTGATCCACATTAATGTTTGTGTATTCTCTTATTTTCTTATAAAACAACACAATCAAAAGGGAAAAAAACAACAATCAACATAGTATTTTTAAAAATAAATATTCATTTTAATTTATATCCAGTAAGAGCATCTCCAAAAAATGACGTCATCCAATCAAGTCAGCTGCAAACATTATGTTGCAACATTAAGTCTCTAAAAATGTCCACTGTCCTTCATTTCATTAGTATAATGACACCCCTCTCACTCAAACCTTTATATATATATAAATATATGCCATGCCACGTCATTTATGAAGGTGCCCTAAAAGGTATACAGGTAAACAGTGTAAGAATTCACCACACCTGTGGCACACCAACCAAAAATTGGATATCACACCAACCAAACATCTTCATGACTATGATGACTATGAGCTGCTGGTGCATCTAAAGCCAAACATACAACATACACAGCTCAAATGCTGACTGTTCTCCAACAGCTGCTAATGCATCTAAAGCCAAACATACAACATACACAGCTCAAATGCTGACTGTTCTCCAACAGCTGCTAATGCATCTAAAGCCAAACATACAACATACACAGCTCAAATGCTGACTGTTCTCAGACAGCAAAGCAACTCTTGTACAGACCAGACAGGTTTTAGCTTCTATCCACCTGTCACAATTTTTTAAAATTGTTTTAAATAGGTATATTTATACTAATTCATGAATATTTATCATGAATATTGTAAAGATACTTATTATGCTGACTTTCTATATCCTAAATGTTAAACCTAATAATGTAACAGCATGCTTTAAATATTGATCTTCAACCCAACTTAAACACACACACACAAATCTTGGACAAAATTAGTCAGTGTTGTCTTAAACAGAATAGCAAATACTTTTAAATTATCAGTTACATTTCTTGATCTATCGTGTGCACTCCCATATGAAAACTAATTAAAAAGTTTTAACAAAATATTTGTTAAAATATCTTAGATTAAACTACAACTTTTTGTGCAGTGCAGTGCACACATTTTTTACCAAAATCAAAACCAATGTTGTTGTTGATTTTTTAATATACATTTTTCAAGTTGTGATTTCTCAAATTTAAGACTTAAGGTCAGTGGTGACGCTACACCAGGTCCCGCCGGGTCCCAGGACCTGGTAAAAAAACTTGGGACCTGGCAAATGACCTGGTCAAGTTTTATTAGTTACTAATATATTGTAGATATGCTCATTAAGCGTAAACTACATTACGTGTAAGAGAACTGCCATTTTAAATGCCTTTATAGGTTTAAATTTTTATCAACAACAAAAGTCAATATAACGTCATAAAATGTAATATATATAAAATTTAAGTTTTTAACTTGTAAGAGGCCATCCATATATTACGTACGCAAAAATATCGCTAATTTCAACCCCCCTCCCCCTTGTTGCATGGCGTACTTTTTCAGTAAACCCCCCCNCCTTAGCGATAAAGTTATGAAGTTCTGGTACCCGGCTACCAATAGTCGCAGCCAAATTAATTATTGACATTGCTTATTTGGGACCCGCCAAATTTTTTTAAGACCTGCAAGGGACCCGCCATGTTAAATTTGAAGGCGTCGCCACTGCTTAAGGTATTACTTTATTCCATTAACTATAACATTATAGGTTGTTTTTTTTAAAAATACAAAGCAATAATTAAAACATAGTGAATATATAAATAACATATTTTGGCTTAAATTGTTTAAAATGCGCAATTGATACGGTTGAATATTGTACATGTGTAAAGATTTATAGTATAAGCTTTCAGATACAGAAGAAAAAAATTCAGTACATCAATACAATAGCAGCACCAACATTGTTTGTTTTTTTATACATGAAATATGGATTGAGTTTTATATGACACAAACATTATCTAAACTGTAACCTTTGAGCATTCTTAAATCTCACTTACACATAAACTTACCAACATAAACTTATCAAAATTAATTATTTTATTTTTCTACCTTTATATTTTTTTGAAAAATTATAATTTATCATTACATTTTAAAATTAAGTTATTTCTTTAATCTAAATGAAATCTTTCTTATTGTGTTGTCCACTTCAAAGACATTCAAGGTGAGAAAATTTCTATATTTTCACCTTGTAATGCTGAACTTAAGATGGAAAAAGAGAAATTAATCTGTAGAAAAATCTTAAGACTAATCAATAAAAGTGAAGCAATTTCCAATACAAGCATTAAGACATATATTTTGGATTAAAACATTTTAACACTTACAGATTAATGCGTGGTGAGTTATCATTTCTATGGTGTAAAAATCATTTGAGTAGCCTCCCTCTGTTTAAGTTCAAGATAATTCTCTTTAAGATTGTTTTGTTTCTATCTTGATGCAAGACAAATTCAACTAATTTTAAAATCATTGATCCCTCCCACCATTTGCCTAAGCTAAGAAAATAGAAAGCCTTCCCCTTATATAAAGACAGCCAATTCTAAAACCTATTGTAAAAGTAATTTATACAGTATTTACATATGTTTTATAAAGGGGAATTTGCAATTACATCTTCAATGAAATATTTTTCAAACCTTGTCCAAAAGACAAATTATGATTTAAAATTGTATCCTCCACAATCTTTTCTTAAGGAATATAATGTATTGGCTAAGAAAAGATTGAATATACTTTTTTTTTAAATAGTTGAATTTTAATAAGTTGAAATATTTTTATTTTTTTAACAATGAGATGTCGTGATTTCACTTAAAATGCTGACATATTTTTTAATGTTTCATATTTTAAAAATGTAATTCATGAGATTTTTAAAATATTTTTTAAATTTACTTTTTGATAAGTATCAAGCCTAACCCCCTTTAACTTTGTTGTGCAGTATCTTTGCCTTTTAATGTTTTTATTTTTAATTTAAGTTAGAAAAAAAAACACATTCAACTCTACTGTTTAAACAATCTTCAAACCACACAAATACCCTATCATAATTCTAGTTACACAAACTTTGCTCATTCAATTTTTTAAAAAGAAAACTTTTGATGAATCCATTTCTTTGTGGAGCCTTTTTATTTGTGTAATGAACAGAGGCACAAAAACACTTTTAAAAAAAGGCTAACCTTAGCCTCTAAACCTTCCAATCTTTCGGTTTGTAACGAGTATGCAAAGTTAAAACACACAAATACATTTTAAAAGGATCGAATGTATCACATCCAATAAATGTAAGGCAACAGGTCTTAAGATGAAATGCATGTCAGTCTGAAATCAGAGGCATTCAGGCAGCTAAGGAAAACAATGATTTTTTGATAAAAAGGAATTTTTCTCTTTTAACCAAAGGCAAATTTGAGTGATGTATTGTGCATTAGGAAAAATAGCATGAGTTATTATTTGATTACCAGGGTAATCTTTTTATAAATTGGAAATTTAAATTACAGGCAACAAATATGAGGAAAATGAAAAAATACATAGAGAAAGCGAACACAAATATTGACTTGAAAAGCGACAAGATACCAGCAACAATCCATCAACACAATTTATACCTAAGTTCATTTCCCATGACTTTCAGTATTTTTGAAAAGAGGTGATCTCGCATTCATTCGATTTGGTCTGGAATATTCAAATATTTGCGTTACAAACATATCTTTTTTTTCTCATAAAAGAAAACCTGTGAACACCGCTCATTAATATTTTAAAAAATCATACGGGTAAAACCTGCGAACATAGAATTACATAAACATATTATTACAAGTGTCTCTGAAATACATAGGGCCTATATCTTTCATTATCCCATTTAAAAAAACATTAAAAAAGCTCCCGATATGTCAGCTTGTTGTTCCCAGCACTAATTTCAACCCAACCTCAATTATTAATTTCACAGATTTAAAACAAAAATAGTTCATGAATATATTAAAAGATGAATTTTTTAAAATTTCATGTAATTTGAAATTTACACCAGAATAATTATTTTCCAAAATTTTTACTAAACAACAGTTACAGTTGAACAATTCATCTATCTTTTTCATCGGCTGTAATCAAATATATTTCACTGTAATGTTATTCCCAAAATAGTTTCATATATTCTTGCTATTTACATAAATAATGTTTCAATAACTAATTTTTCTTAACGTTTCAATAACTAATGTTTCAATAGCTGTTTAAATAACTAACTTTTCAATAACTAATTATTTTAATTGTGAATACACAAAACAAAGGAAGAATTTTTATAAACTAAAGACATTGTTCATGGCACAAGGAAGACAAACACAACTTAAAAAGCATCTGATTCCAATAACTCTAACGAACCAACCAAAAATATGTATACGATGAGGGGCAATCACCACATTAAGGCAGCACGGGGGGGGGGGGGGGGGGGTATCACAGCATTGTGTAAAGAAAAATTAAAACTAGCGCTGTAAAAATAAATTCAGAAGAGCAATTTTCCAAATCTGATAATACAAGGTATTTGGAAATAATATTGGCAGTCAACTGTTCACCTAACACGCACACAGAAAAAAGAAACCTTTTTTATTAATTCAATCACATCAATCCTTTCACTTTTTATTCACGATAGGCAATGTAGTCAATGTAGGCCTTTAGGCCTACTTGTTGTAAAGTTTCATTTAAATTTATGTAACTGTATTATTTACTGATGAAAACATTTTGCCACAACGTCTGGACTAGTCATTTGTATAATTGAAACCTTGGCTATTCTATGGACTTAAAAATTACAAACACAAATTGTTGGTGACTTGAATAAAAATATTTTAAGAAGGATAAGAATTCATTAACAATGGTTACATATATTTTTTCTTCTTCACTCCATGTTACTTATTGTTACATTTTATTATGGAGTCCTGATTAAGGTTGTCCTAAGGTGTTACATTACAGACATTCTTTTAGTTTTTTCTAATAACTTAATTTTTATTTTTTTATTTTTTTTTTTCGATTTCAGAATGGTATTAATTAAGAGAGCTAAACTTAAACAGAAACTTCTGATGCAAAGGGACATAACTTTCAATGAAGACGTTCATTCAATAGCCTCATCAAATTGACAACCAAAGATTGGTATGGATTTACCCTGAAAAATCTCAAATAATAAACTAAAAAAGTTAATTGGGTCTCAATTCTGAGAAATGGGATCTTCTAGGTGAGAGCAACATTTAATTCATTGTCAGAGTTGGTTGGATTATAATCATCTGTGTCATCCCAGTCTGCAGAGTCAGGGACGGTAAGTTCAACTTGCGGTGACCCATTTTTATCTCCATTTGTTGTGAGGCCATCCTTTTCTTTATCCTGAACAACAGACGTATAACATGAACAACCCATTTTGGAACATTTTATCTCGATGTTCATTGATAACCAGATATAAACAATAATATGTCAAATATTTTCCGATATATCGTCCGACTGGCCAGTCTCACTAGAGAATAAATGGTTTGAAAAAAAAATAATAGTAGCTTCTATTTTTCTCAATATATTTTAGTGTTGACCTATCATTATTTCAGCTCACCTTAAGACATGCCATTTGGTGTTAAATATCTGAACTCACCTTCTTAATAATTTTGTCTTTCGTTGCTTTAGCCTTTTTCTTGACAATGCCTTCCAGGTGGCTCAGTTTGTTTTGAGTTTGGCTGGCGGCTGTTGTTATTCTAGTCTGATCATGACAAATATTTATAACATTTTGACAGTGACAATGATTTATTTTTCAAAAATATATGGGTAATTACATTTTTTAAATGTGGAAATACTCAGGTAAATGTTTTGAAAATTTTGGAAATGTTTTTAAATGTTTTTAAAAGTATTTTGAAATATGTGGAAGAGTTTAGAAATTTTTGGAAGAGTTTTGAAATGTATTTTGAAATATTGGAAACGTTTTTAAAAGTTTGGAAAATATTTTAAAATTTTGGAAAAGTTTGGAAATGTTTGGAAATGTTGTTATAAATTTTGGAAATGTTTTGAAAATGTTGGAAAGGTTTGGAAATGTTTTTTTTAAATTTTAGAAATGTTTTGAAATGTGTTTAAAAGTATCTTTAATTATGTGGAAAAGGTTGGAAAAGTTTTTAAAATTTTGGAAAAGTTTGGAAATGTTTGGAAAAATTGTAAATGTTTTTTTTTTACATTTTGGAAATGTTTTGAAATGTGTTTTAAAATATCTTGAAATATGTGGAAAAGTTTGGACATGTTCCATGTTTTTCGAAATTTGGAAAAGTTTGGAAATGTTTTTTTTAAATTCTGGAAATATTTTGAAATGTGTTTTAAAGTACCTTTAACTATGGGGAAAAGTTTGGAAAAGTTTGGAAAAGTTTTTAAATGTTTTTCTTTTAAATTTTGGAAATGTTTTAAGGTATCTTGAACTATGCGGAAAAGTTTGGAAAAGTTTGGAAATGTTCTATTAAATTCTGGAAATGTTTTGAAATGTGTTTTAAAGTACCTTTAACTATGGGGAAAAGTTTTTAAAAGTTTGGAACAATTTGGAAATGTTTTTTTAAGTTTTTAAAAGTTTGGAAATGTTTGGAAAAGTTTTTTAAAAAATCTTTAATTACGTGAAAAAGTTTGGAGAATTTTTAAAAGTTTGGAAATATTTGGAAATGTTTGGAAAAGTTTGGAAATGTTTGGAAAAGTTTGGAAATGTTTTGGAAAGTTTTGAAATGTTTGGAAAAGTTTGGAAATGTTTGAAAAACTTTTTTTTTTAAATTTTGGAAATGTTTTGAAATGTGTTTTGAAGTATCTTAAGCTATGTGGAAAAGTTTTTAAAAGTTTAGAAAAGATTGGAAATGTTTTTAAAAGTTTGGAAATGTTTGGAAAAATTGGAAAAGTTTGGAAATGTTTTTTTTTTAATTTTTGAAATGTTTTTTTTTTAATTTTGGAAATGTTTTTGAAATGTGTTTTAAAGTATCTTTAATTATGTGGAAAAAGTTTGGAAAAGTTTTTAAAAGTTTGGAAATGTTTGGAAATGTTTGGAAAAGTTTGGAAATGATTCGAAAAATTTGGAAATGTTTAGAAAAGTTTGGAAATGTTTGTAAAAGTTTTTTGAATTTTGGAAATGTTTTGAAATTTGTTTTAAAGTATCTTTAGCTATGTAGAAAAGTTTTTAAAAGTTGCGAAAAGTTTGGAAATGTTTTTAAAGTTTGGAAATGTTTGGAAAAGTTTGGAAAATATTTTTAAATTTTGGAAATGTTTTTAAATTTGTTTTAAAGTATCTTAAGCTATTTAGAAAAGTTTTTAAAAGTTTGAGTTTGGAAATGTTTTTAAAAGTTTGGAAATGTTTGGGAAAGTTTGGAAAAGTTTGGAAAAGTTTGGAAAAGTTTGGAAAAGTTTGGAAAAGTTTGGAAAAGTTTGGAAAAGTTTGGATATTTTTTTTTTTAAATTTTGGAAATGTTTTGAAATGTGTTTTAAAGTATCTTTAATTATGTGGAAATGTTTGGAAAAGTTTTTAAAAGTTTGGAAATGTTTGGAAAAGTTTGGAAAAGTTTTTTTTAAATTTTGGAAATGTTTTGAAATTTGTTTTAAAGTATTTTAAGCTATGTAGAAAAGTTTTTAAAAGTTTTGAAATGTTTGGAATTGTTTTTTCAAAGTTTGGAAATGTTTGGAAAAGTTTGGAAATGTTTTTTTAAAATTTTGGAAATGTTTTTGAAATGTGTTTTAAAGTATCTTTAATTATGTGGAAAAGTTTGGAAAGTTTGGAAATGTTTGGAAAGGTTTGGAAAAGTTTGGAAATGTTTGGAAAAGTTTGGAAATGTTTGGAAAAGTTTTTAAAGTTTGGAAATGTTTTGAAATTTGTTTTAAAGTATCTTAAGCTATGTAGAAAAGTTTTTATAAGTTGCGAAAAGTTTTGAAATGTTTTTAAAAGTTTGGAAATGTTTGGAAAAGTTTGGAAAAGTTTGGAAAATTTTTTTAAATTTTGGAAATGTTTTGAAATTTGTTTTAAAGTATTTTAAGCTATGTAGAAAAGTTTGTAAAAGTTTTGAAAAGTTTGGAATTGTTTTTAAAAGTTTGGAAATGTTTGGAAATGTTTGGAAAAGTTTGGAAAAGTTTGGAAATGTTTTTTTTAAATTTTGGAAATGTTTTTGAAATGTGTTTTAAAGTATCTTTAATTATGTGGAAAAGTTTGGAAAAGTTTTTAAAAGTTTTTAAAAGTTTGGAAATGTTTGGAAAAGTTTGGAAAAGTTTGGAAATGTTTGGAAAAGTTTGGAAATGTTTGGAAAAGTTTGGAAAAGTTTGGAAATGTTTTTGAAATGTGTTTTAAAGTATCTTTAATTATGTGGAAAAGTTTGGAAAAGTTTTTAAAAGTTTGGAAATGTTTCGAAATGTTTGGAAAAGTTTGGAAAAGTTTGGAAATATTTGGAAAAGTTTTTTAAAGTTTGGAAATGTTTTGAAATTTGTTTTAAAGTATCATAAGCTATGTAGAAAAGCTTTTAAAAGTTGCGAAAAGTTTGGAAATGTTTTTAAAAGTTTGGAAATGTTTGGAAAAGTTTGGAAAAGTTTGGAAATGTTTGGAAAAGTTTGGAAAAGTTTGGAAATGTTTTTTTTAAATTTTGGAAATGTTTTTGAAACGTGTTTTAAAGTATCTTTAATTATGTGGAAAAGTTTGGAAAAGTTTTTAAAAGTTTGGAAATGTTTGGAAATGTTTGGAAAAGTTTGGAAAAGTTTGGAAATGTTTGGAAAAGTTTGGAAATGTTTGGAAAAGTTTGGAAAAGTTTGGAAAAGTTTGGAAATGTTTTTGAAATGTGTTTTAAAGTATCTTTAATTATGTGGAAAAGTTTGGAAAAGTTTTAAAAGTTAGGAAATGTTTGGAAAAGTTTGGAAAATTTTGGAAAAGTTTGGAAAAGTTTGGAAAAGTTTTTTAAAGTTTGGAAATGTTTTGAAATTTGTTTTAAAGTATCTTAAGCTATGTAGAAGCTTTTAAAAGTTGCGAAAAGTCTGGAAATGTTTTTAAAAGTTTGGAAATGTTTGGAAAAGTTTGGAAAAGTTTGGAAAAGTTTGGAAATGTTTTTTTTAAATTTTGGAAATGTTTTTGAAATGTGTTTTAAAGTATCTTTAATTATGTGGAAAAGTTTGGAAAAGTTTTTAAAAGTTTTTAAAAGTTTGGAAAAGTTTGGAAATGTTTGGAAAAGTTTGGAAATGTTTGGAAAAGTTTGGAAAAGTTTGGAAATGTTTTTGAAATGTGTTTTAAAGTATCTTAAATTATGTGGAAAAGTTTTTAAAAGTTTGGAAATGTTTGGAAATGTTTGGAAAAGTTTGGAAAAGTTTGGAAAAGTTTGGAAATATTTGGAAAAGTTTTTTAAATTTTGGAAATGTTTTGAAATTTGTTTTAAAGTATCTTAAGCTATGTAGAAAAGCTTTTAAAAGTTGCGAAAAGTTTGGAAATGTTTTTAAAAGTTTGGAAATGTTTGGAAAAGTTTGGAAAAGTTTGGAAATGTTTGGAAAAGTTTGGAAAAGTTTGGAAATTTTTTTTTTAATTTTGGAAATGTTTTTGAAATGTGTTTTAAAGTATCTTTAATTATGTGGAAAAGTTTGGAAACGTTTTTAAAAGTTTGGAAATGTTTGGAAAAGTTTGGAAAATTTTTTTTAAATTTTGGAAATGTTTTGAAATTTGTTTTAAAGCATTTTAAGCTATATAGAAATGTTTTTAAAATTTTGAAAAGTTCGGAATTCTTTTTAAAAGTTTGGAAATGTTTGGAAAAGTTTGGAAATGTTTGGAAAAGTTTGGAAAAGTTTGGAAATGTTTTTTTTAAATTTTGGAAATGTTTTGAAATGTGTTTTAAAGTATCTTTAATTATGTGGAAAAGTTTGGAAACGTTTTTAAAAGTTTGGAAATGTTTGGAAATGTTTGGAAAAGTTTGGAAATGTTTGGAAAAGTTTTTGAAAGTCTGGAAATGTTTGGAATTACTTTTAAATTTTTTTTTTAATGGGGAAAAGTTTGGAATTTTTTTTTTTAATTTTGGAAAAGTTTGGAAATGTTTTTAAATGTTTGGAAAAGTTTGGAAAAGTTTGGAAATGTTTTTAAAATTTTTGATTTTTTTTAAAATGTGGGAAAAGTTTTTAAAAGTTTTTAAAAGTTTGGAAATGTTTGGAAAAGTTTGGAAATGTTTGGAAATATTTTAAAATTTTTGAATTTTTTTTAAAATGTTGGAAAAGTTTGGAAATGTTTTTATGTTGGTCATTTTATGAAATGCTTATGCAATAGTTGCAATTCTCTGTTGGCTTCTTTTACACCCCCCCCCTGCCCCCCCCCCTTAAATAAAACATAGGGGGAAAGTAGTCATTTCTTAAGATCACACAAATTTTTATTCAGTTCTTTCCCTTTGTACCATGACTATAGTATCAATAGCATAACCCTATTACAGAAGCAAAAAATTCCGAGTTTAATATTAAATTTAAGCGGCATTGTAAACAGAACTTTTGTTGAACCAGGTCACAGACATTTCATTGAAAACAAACGATGCAGAGGAGAAGACAAAATAGTTTATTTTTGGAATCTTCCTGGTTTACCTGAAGCATAGATCCGATCTCGCTGAGGACCAACGCCCCCCAAGACAGACCGAGTAAGATCCACAATCCAAGAATGATCCTGTATGCGTTAGTTGTCCTAACTGTCCCCTTTGCTGTTCAGATGCAGATACAGAAGAAAAAGACATTTTTTTAAATAAATTAAATGTTTTAAATAATAAACCTACAAAGAATTTAACCCTGAATTTTCCACACTAATTAGCAAACATATCTCACTGTTTCTTCCATATCTCACTGTTTCTTCCATATCTCACTGTTTCTTCCCACATCTCACTGTTTTTCCAGTATCTCACTGTCTCTTCCCATATCTCAGTGTTTCTTCTTCTTCTTCAGTGTATTTCACTGATTCTTACTATATCTCACTATCTCACATTCTTACTTTCTTCCCACGTGACACTGCTTCATCCTATTATGCGGTGTTTCACTGGGCCCATTACAATTATGTAGTCCAACTTTAACTTGGTAACTTAATTCGAATTGAGGCCGCCATCAACTGTTCAGAATGCAAAACTAAGAAACATGTATCTATTCATTTATTTTCAGCCTTGGATTCCTTTTGATGAGAAGTGGCCGGTGCCAACACGCACCTATAATGTGGACAGGTGACAGGTTGAAAGATGGCTGTAGTGCCAACACGCGCCTACAATGTGGACAGGTGACAGGTTGAAAGATGGCTGCACGAATGTGTCATCAGTCACGTGGTAGCCAGAAAGGGGGCGTCGTCACCCCTGCTCGGGGGTGGCAAACAGCGACATGGGGGGGGGGGGGATGACTGCTAACATTAATGGCTGATCCATCCGTGTTAATCCACTGGGGGAAACATAACTCATACAATCCAGTGTACACATCCACACAAGCACGAATGTGTCATCAGTCACGTGGTAGCCAGAAAGGGGGCGTCGTCACCCCTGCTCGGGGGTGGCAAACAGCGACATGGGGGGGGGGGGATGACTGCTAACATTAATGGCTGATCCATCCGTGTTAATCCACTGGTGGTAACATAACTCATATCATCCAGTGTACACATCCACACATACACATAATTATGGCTGAATTGAAATCTGGCAGAACTGAAATCGGGCAGAATTGAAATCAGGCTTAACTGAAATCTGGTCAACTGAAATCGGGTCAACTCAAATCTGGCATAACTGAAATCGGGTCAACTGAAATCTATTCAACTGAAATCTGTCAGAAAAGCAGAAAATTTTAGACACAGCAAAGTCACCATGTTAAAACCTGAATCTTGACAAGACAAGCTCCAGTGACAGATTGTCTAATTCTGATGACATGTCAGACGTCATCGTCTATGACTAAAGAAAGTGTCTGTCATGGCTAAACACTGGCCACTCTCTGCAGTAACAGTGTTATGAATTTCTTGATACTGACAGTTCACCGACAGTAAAGATTTCTTGATTCTGACAGTTCACAGTCAATAAAGATTGCTTGATTCCGACAGTTCACAGTCAATAAAGATTTCTTGATTCTGACAGTTCACCGTCAATAAAGATTTCTTGATTCTGACAGTTCACCGTCAGTCAATATATCTTGATACTGACAGTTCACCAACAATCAAGATTTCTTGATACTGACAGTTCACCGACTATCAAGATTTCTTGATACTGACAGTTCACCGTCAATCAAGATTTATTGATACTGACAGTTCACCGTCAATCAATATTTCTTGGTTCTGACAGTTCTTTGACAATCAAGATTTCTTGATACTGACAGTTCACTGACAATCAAGATTTCTTGATTCTTACAGTTCACTGACAATCAAGATATCTTGATACTGACAGTTCACTTAAAATCAAGATTTCTTGATTCTGACAGTTCACCGACAATCAACTACACTTAAAACTGATAACACACTCAAAACTATTGCTGTCAAAATGTTGTGTTTTTAAATAATAAAAAAAATATCTGTATGGTGATATTGCATTTATGATTGTTTCCTCTCTATATTCATCTTTGGTGTTGTCCAACATTTCCACAAAGCAAAAACACAACCTATTTATATTGAAATAGATTTATGGAGAAGCAGGTCATACAGTCAATTTCCTTCCCAAGGATATCTAAGACTTTTAAATGAGTATCGGTAACACCATGAAACAGCTTAGTAACACCGTGAAACAGCTTGGTAACACCATGAAATAGCTTGGTAACACCATGAAACAACATATTAACACCATGAAACAGCTTGGTAACACCATGAAACAGCTTGGTAACACCGTGAGACAGCTTGGTAACACCGTGAGACAGCTTGGTAACACCGTGAAACAGCTTGGTAACACCGTGAAACAGCTTGGTCACACCATGAAACAGCTTGGTCACACCATGAAACAGCTTGGTCACACCATGAAACAGCTTGGTCACAGCTTGGTCACACAGCTTGTAACACAATGAAACAGCTTGGTAACACCATGAAATAGCTTGGTAACACCATGAAACAACATATTAAGACCATGAAACAGCTTGGTAACACCATGAAACAGCTTGGTAACACCGTGAGACAGCTTGGTAACACCGTGAAACAGCTTGGTAACACCGTGAAACAGCTTGGTGACACCGTGAAACAGCTTGGTGACACCGTGGAAAAAGCTTGGTGACACCGTGAAACAGTTTGGTCACACCATGAAACACCTTGGTCACACCATGAAACAGCTTGGTCACACCATGAAACAGCTTGGTCACACAGCTTGTAACACCATGAAACAGCTTGGTAACACCATGAAACAGCTTGGTCACACCATAAAACAGCTTGGTCACACCATGAAACAGCTTGGTAACACCGTGAAACAGCTTGGTAACACCGTGAAACAGCTTGGTGACACCGTGAAACAGCTTGGTGACACCGTGGAAACAGCTTGGTGACACCGTGAAACAGCTTGGTGACACCATGAAACAGCTTGGTCACACCATGAAACAGCTTGGTCACAGCTTGGTCACACAGCTTGGTAACACCATGAAACAGCTTGGTAACACCATGAAACAGCTTGGTAACACCATGAAACAGCTTGGTAACACCATGAAACAGCTTGGTAACACCATGAAACAGCTTGGTAACACCGTGAAACAGCTTGGTCACAGCATGGTCACACAGCTTGGTAACACCATGAAACAGCTTGGTAACACCATGAAACAGCTTGGTAACACCATGAAACAGCTTGGTAACACCATGAAACAGCTTGGTAACACCATGAAACAGCTTGGTCACACCATGAAACTGCTTGGTCACAGCTTGGTCACACAGCTTGGTAACACCATGAAACAGCTTGGTAACACCATGAAACAGCTTGGTAACACCATGAAACAGCTTGGTAACACCATGAAACAGCTTGGTCACACCATGAAACAGCTTGGTAACACCGTGAAACAGCTTGGTAACACCATGAAACAGCTTGGTAATACCATTAAACAGCTTGGTAACACCATGAAACAGCTAGGTAACACCATGAAACAGCTTGGTAACACCATGAAACAGCTTGGTCACACCATGAAACAGTTAGGTAACACCGTGAAACAGCTTGGTAACACCATGAAACAGCTTGGTAATACCATTAAACAGCTTGGTAACACCATGAAACAGCTAGGTAACACCATGAAACAGCTTGGTAACACCATGAAACAGCTTGGTAACACCATGAAACAGTTAGGTAACACCGTGAAACAGCTTGGTAACACCATGAAACAGCTTGGTAACACCATTAAACAGCTTGGTAACACCATGAAACAGCTAGGTAACACCATGAAACAGCTTGGTAACACCATGAAACAGCTTGGTCACACCATGAAACAGCTAGGTAACACCGTGAAACAGCTTGGTAACACCATGAAACAGCTTGGTAATACCATTAAACAGCTTGGTAACACCATGAAACAGCTAGGTAACACCATGAAACAGCTAGGTAACACCATGAAACAGCTTGGTCACACCATGAAACAGCTTGGTCACACCATGAAACAGCTAGGTAACACCATGAAACAGCTTGGTAACACCATGAAACAGCTAGGTAACACCGTGAAACAGCTTGGTAACACCGTGAAACAGCTAGGTAACACCATGAAACAGCTAGGTAACACCGTGAAACAGCTTGGTAACACCATGAAACAGCTAGGTAACACCATGAAACAGCTTGGTAACACCATGAAACAGCTAGGTAACACCGTGAAACAGCTTGGTCACACCATGAAACAGCTTGGTAACACCATGAAACAGCTAGGTAACACCATGAAACAGCTTGGTAACACCATGAAACAGCTAGGTAACACCATGAAACAGCTAGGTAACACCGTGAAATAGCTTGGTAACACCATGAAACAGCTAGGTAACACCATGAAACAGCTTGGTAACACCATGAAACAGCTTGGTAACACCATGAAACAGCTAGGTAACACCGTGAAACAGCTTGGTAACACCGTGAAACAGCTAGGTAACACCATGAAACAGCTTGGTAACACCATGAAACAGCTAGGTAACACCGTGAAACAGCTAGGTAACACCGTGAAATAGCTTGGTAACACCATGAAACAGCTAGGTAACACCATGAAACAGCTAGGTAACACCATGAAACAGCTTGGTAACACCATGAAACAGCTTGGTCACACCATAGAACAGCCCCAGGAGTCTGATAGTTGAAATAAAATAGACTTCAACTTGTCATAGACCTCAATTCATTCTGTTTTTACTGATCTTTATGGCAATGACAACATGGTACACATAGCGCTACACTTGTCATGTGTGGTCTGGTGCACATGTAGCTATATGTGCACCATTTTGGCATATGGCGACACACGCTAAAATGTAGCTATATGTGCACCATTTTGCCACATGGCGACACATGCTAAATGTAGCTACATGTGCACCATTTTGCCACATGGCGACACAGGCTAAATGTAGCTCTATGTGCATCATTTTACCATATGGCGACACATGCTGAATGTAGCTACATCTGCACCATTTTGCCATATGGCAACACATGCTAAATATAGCTACATGTGCACCATTTTGCCACATGGCGACACAGGCTAAATGTAGCTCTATGTGCATCATTTTACCATATGGCGACACATGCTGAATGTAGCTACATCTGCACCA